GGCACTAACGTGGACGCTCATTCAGTGCGTGCTTGGCGTTGCACGTAGGACATCCCTCCCCATAGCCGGGGACAAGGACCAAGGCCTTTCTGGCGGGCGGAGCCGGGGCGGGGGGTGGGGGTGGGGGGCTGGCTGTGCCTCGGGTGGCAGCAAACAGGTTCAGCTGAAAGTGATCTGAGCCCCACGCCTTGCCTACAAAGTATTTACCAGAGTTATAATCTGTCCCACCCACGCTGCCTTGTACAACAGGAGGAACCAAGGGGACACTTGGAACCGGCGCAGCCTTCAAAGTCTGACAAGTCGATGTTAGAACATGAGAAGGCGTTTCCAGTCCTTGTAAACATTTTGACACCTGGTAATGTTATAAGCAAACATTACAGTATGAAAGGTTACCAAAGAATTATCCTAATGCTGAGCACGTGTCAAAAACAAAGCAATGCCTCATTTATGACTGCCTGTGCACTGGTTAAAGCAGGGTGGGAGAGGAGGAGCGAGCAGGCTGTATCATGAAACACGCACGGCAGGGGCAGAACAAGAGTTACTAAAGCAATCGTGAATCTATCCTCTAACGCCCAAGGGTTTGATGTTGCAACCTTAATAACATTTATTTGGCATGTCTTTGTATGTCGTTTCCTGCAACTATTTTCAAGGGGGGAAAAGTATTTTCTCTTCTGTATAGTCATAGCAAGACTCTCCTTTATCACTAGAGCAATCTACCACTTCAGTCAAAAAAAAAAAAGCCCCAGTACATAGTAAATGGCCAAAATAAGCTGTTATCAGCTATCTTGAGAGAACTGAGAATGCTTGCTGGTTAAGACAGTGGGCTGGTGTCAGCTGGAAGATGCCCTCGTTCCTTCCTTCCTGCTCTCCCTCCTTGATCCACAGAAGATCTCCTGCTCAATGCAGCGTCAACCGCTGGAGATCTGAATAGGTTTGGGGGGGCTGTGCACAGGGATTTCTGATCTGGTTAGAGGAAGCCCGGCCTGGCACATCACGTGTATTTTCAGCTCAGCGTTGCTGCCTTGGAGAAGGGATGGTTCTTCATCAAGTTCATAGCCTGTTAGCAAGTTTGCCAGCTACCAAAGTTTCTCTGAGGCGCGCAAGTCTCAATGAGAAGATGGAAAATTTCAGCAAAACAATTAAAAAGCTTTTTTTTTTTGTTGTTTGTTTGATTGGTTGCAAGAAATAAAAAGAAACTCTTCACCACCCTACAGCCCTTAGGCTTGTCAGATCTCATGCTGAAAACAGTAACAGTAGCAGGGATTCACA